CGCAGCCAGCGCAGCCCGCGGCCCCCGCGCGGAGCCAGGCCCGCTGCCGTCCCCGCCGCCCGGTTCCCCGACATGCAGCCCCGGCTGCGGAGGTGACACATCTGGGCTTCAGCCGCCGCCGCCGCCGCCGCCGCCATCGCCACCATGGGTGAGTATCGCCACCGCCCGGGCCTGTACCCGCGCTGCCTCGCTACGCCCCGCCCCGGGCTGAGGGGAGGAGGACCCTGGACCGCTGCCTGACAGGCATGGACAGCCCGCCCGGCCCGGAGCTGCGGACCGCCAGCCGCTCGCCTGTGCGCGGCGCCGTGGTGGTTCTGGCTGGTGGAGCCCTCCGGGAGGCCCTAGCCACCAAGCCCACTCGGAAGCCCTCATTTCGGACGGCGCATCCCGAGGAGGGGGCAGCGGGACCGAGGGTCGGAGTTCGGCGCGGTGGCCAGCACCGACCCCACAGAGCCGGCCAGCGAGTCCGAGGGCGGGGGAGCGAGAGCTCAGTGTGGGGCCCAGGCTGGAGCCTGGTGCAGGCCCAGCTGCTGTTGTGTCTCTTCCTTGATTTGCTTTTTTTTCCTGCCTGTGTCATTTCCTTCCCTTTGCTCACACAGGCCGGCTTGTGAGTTCCCGGGGCTTTGCTCTGGAGCTCTGTGCGCGCCCCAGTGCAGGGGGGGAGGGCGTGCTGGGCTCTGCTGCCAGGCGATTAAACGCCAATCTCTGTTATCAACAGCGCGGTTGAGAAATGCTTGCTGCGCTGCTCGCAGATTGCTGGTGGTTAGGAATGGTCGGGCGCTGCGGGTTATAGTTCCTACCCCTACTTTTGGAAAAATCCACTTGCAGTGTTTTGCTGCTCTGTTTTTTATTCTGTGCTATATCTGAAACTTTAGAAAGAAGCATTCGCTACACAAAGGGATCACTATGAAATCATTTCCTTTTTGTCAATATTTGCAATTTCTGTTGGGAATATGTAATCTAAGGAAAGTTTTTAATGTCTTCCAACGCAGTATTTGACTGTTGGACTGAACTAAGGAGAAAGTAACATTTTAAATGTACTTTGCCATTCCTGTCGGGGCAAGTATTGTGAAGCTCTTGTCTCTGATGTCAAGTTTTGTAAAATATTTGGTCTTGACCTAAATTTAAAAAGGGGTAAACTTCCTTTGCAAAAGTGTGCATTGCTTCTGCTCGAATGAAGATGGAATGCTAATGTTTGCTTTGCCCTATAGCAAGGTCAAGTCATTTTTTTTTAAGGAGTTCTTGAGTGGGTGCAATGGCACATTGGCCAGATACTCATTTGTGGCCCATCTCTTCATTCTGGCTTTAAATGAATTGCTTTGTTCTGTTTCATGCTGCCCCTCATACAGCATGGGAAGAGTTTATTCATTTGCTGGGTTTACTTTTTCCTTCCCACCTTCCCATGTTGTGATTCAGAAGTGTTTTCTGAGGAAGGTCTCTCATGAGAGACACAAGGCCTTTCATTAAAGAAAAGTGTATGTGTGTATATATATATATATATATATGTAAATGTTATATATATAAAATATATATATTATATTTATCTATCTCTCTATCTATATATAGCTGGGTGGTGCACTCCTTTAACCCCAGCACTCTGTGGGCAGAGGTGGGTTGATCTCTGTGAGTTCAAGGCTAGCCTGGTCTACATAGCAAGTTCCAGGCCAGTTGGGGCTACAGGGAGACCCTGTCACAAAAAGATTAAAAAAAAATTTATATATTTTCTAATAAATATTTATTGAACACTTCCTATAAATAGGATGCAGAATTCTTTCTGTCCTCTACAGCCTTTAAACATTTATCTTCTATTGCAGGATTTGATCTAAATATTTGAATTATGAACCTGTATTGTGATAGTCTTAAGAAGTGTTTCCTTTTGTCCTGTGGGTGCAGCCTTAAGTCCCAGAGGGGAGTGTGAGATACTTTGAGGGTATGTAGACAACCTCACATTTTACACTTCGATTGCAAAACCAGTGAGTGTCCAGATAATGAGGACTAACATGAAGATAGATGTGAGCCTATTTTCACATTTGAAGACATTCTCAACACATGTATAAGTCTATGGCTAGACCGTGATGGAAGGAAAGGAACTTTGTAAGTTGATTAAAAAGTCCCAAAGAAAAAAGGGAACTTGTTATCTTCTCATTTGACCCCATGTCAGTTTTTAAAAGTTGTCTTTTCACTGGGCGTGGTGGCACACGCCTTTAATCCCAGCACTGGGGAGGCAGAGGCAGGTGGATCTCTGAGTTCAAGGCCAGCCTGGTCTACATAGTGAGTTCCAGGACAGCTGGAGCTACAGGGAGACCCTGTCTCAAAAAGACCAAAAAAAAAAAAAAAAAAAAAAAAGTTGTCTTTTCCAGTGCTGGAGATTGAATTCAGGGCCTTGTGAATGCTAGACAAGACTTATCACTGAGCTACATTCCCAGGGTTAGTTCTCCCTCTCTCACTCCCCCCCATCTCCTTCTTCTCTCCCTCTCTTTGAGACAGGGTCTCCCTGTGTAGTAGCCCTAGCTACTCTGGAACTTGCTGTGTAGACCAGGCTGGCCTTGAGCTTATGGATATCCTCCTTCCTCTGCCTCCTGAGTATTGGGATTACAGGTGTGTGCCACCACACTCAGTTTCCCATGTCACTTGTACAGGACAAAACAGACAGTGGAAACATTAACTACCCAGTAACTGCAGTATGTTAGGCAGGCTAGTTTAAGAGCTACTGCCCTGACTTTCTTGAGCCTTTTCTCGTCATTCTATTTTCTTCCTTTTCTTTTCTGGATGGTGAGCTTGACACATAATTAGAGCCAATACTGATCATTATTAATAATTTTCCCACACTTGGCTGTTTTATTCACGTATATAGAACCTATCGGTATGTGGACATACAGACACACAATCTCTGAAATACTGGCTCCGTTTAGGAGATATAAATAAAAAATGCAGATCTCTATTTTAGTTAGTTTGCTTTAATTATTGAAGTTCTTGAGAAATTCATCTAGCAAACATGGGGGTCCTAGGCCCAATCCCCAGAACCTAATAAATAAACAAACATAGGGTTTAATGAAAGAAACAGATTCCTTAATATTTTCTTTATAATTAAACTCCATCCCAATGAGAAAAGGAATGAAACTAATTTGTCTCCTTGCCCTGCAGGTTCTTTGGTTAATAATCATATTTTCCTAAGCTGTTCTATGCTCCAGACTCAAGCCTGTTTGACAACTTGAGTTGTTAATTAAAACAGGTCAGATTTTATATTGGCTGTTAGCCCCAGTAAGCTTCTAGTGGAAACTACACTTATCCTTGTAAATAATAGGAAATACTCTTTTTCTGTTTGCTTTTTTGACTTTGATATTATGTGGCTATTAAAATTAGGATTGACTAATTATTGGGTTTTTTTTTCCTTGGACATAGTAGAATTTCTTCCAAGTTTTAATAATTATAGTAATGTTAATAATTTCTGGGACTAATTTGCTAGTGTTTATTTGGTCTTTTTCCAGATGAATTTTGAATCTTAGTGGGGTATATTACAAAATGTGTAAATGTGTAAGAACTTGGAAATATTATAGGAATCTAGTGAGCTGAGTATAGGATTAAAGATGATCTAGTTCTGGGCTGACAACTTGGTTTGGAGTTATAATTTACAGAGAGCTAGGTCTGTGTCTTTAGGATTCCAAGGCTATTAGAAGCTCATAAGAATAATCTCAAGTTAGTGTGGCTACAATATGACCACCTGTGTAGACTCAGAATGGTTATCGACTATTTTGAGTGAAACTTGAATCACAGTTTATTACATGTCTATATCACAAATAGAGCCACTGTGTTTTTTTTTTTTTTTTTTTTTTTTTTTTTTGAGGCAGGGTCTCCTGTAGCTGAGGCTATACCAGAGTCATGAGATTTATTTTAAAAAATGACAGTTGGGGGCTAGAGAGATAGCCCAGTGGGTTAGAGTGCTTGTCCCATAAGCATGAGGGCCTGAGTTTGAATGCCTCACACTCACATGCAGTCAGGAATGGTTGCACATGCCTGTAACCCCAGCATTAAGGGAGGAGACAGGTAGATCTTGAGTGTTCCCTGGCTAGCCAGCTTAGCCAAAATGGTGAGCTTCTGGTTCATTGAGTGACCCCATCTCAAGGCAACAGTGCAAATAGTAGAAGACAACTGAAATCTTGTTCAGGCAGCCACGTGTGCACACAGGTGCACCCTCCACCACTCATGTGCACTCCCCCTTGTGCGCATATGCTACACATACACATACCACAATACCATAAAGACTGACTCCTAAAATTAAAGATTAAATAAAAAATGACAGTTGATGCCAGGTATCATGGTCTATGCCTGCATTTGCAGTACTTGGGAGGTGGAGCCAGGGGCAGGAAGATCAGGAGTTCAGTGCCAGCCTTACTACATAGTAAATTTGAGACCTACCTATCTGGTCTACATGAGACTGTGTCTCCAAACCAAACCAAAACAACAGCACTTGGGGGAGCTGGAGAGATGGCTTACCGATTAAGAGGAGATACTGCTCTTCCAGGGGACCCCCATTTCAGTTCCCAGCACCCATGTCAGGTGGCTCACAACTACCTGTATCTCTAGCTGCAGGGAATCTGACATCTTTTTCTCACCTCTGTGGACACACCTGAGTATACACACATACATATATACACACAGACACAAATAAATATAAGTAAAATCTTTAAAAATGTTTGATTTGGGACTGGAGAGATGGCTCAGCAATAAGAGCACTGACTGCTCTTGCAGAGGACCCAGGTTCGATTCCCAGCACCCATATGGCGGCTATGAACCGTCCTTAACTCCAGTTTCAGGGGAATCTGAAGCCCTCTTCTGACCTCCGTGGCATTGCACGACATGGGTGCACTCACATATATGCAGGTGATAACACTTGCACACATTAAAAAAAAAATTAAATAAAAAAATGTTCGATTTTTTTTTTTTTTTTTTTTTTTGGTCTTTTTGAGACAGGGTTTCCTTGCAGCCCCAGCTGTCCTGGAACTCACTATGTAGACCAGGCTGGCCTTGAATTCACAAAGATCCGCCTACCTCTTGATTTGTATTTTGAAACTGAATTTTAGACATTTGTAAAATGTAACTATGCAACAGAACATCCACTTAGGGGAATACAGAGAGGATAAATTTTCC